TGATCCACACCTGCAGGTTGCCTCCTAGACACCAACCTCTCTCTCCACCTCTGCACAACTTACTGTGTTACAGTGAGCTAAGTCTTTGTCTTCCTTCCACCTACTCTTTCCCACTGCACACTGAACACCTCCACACACACCACTCACTCCACCTGAAATTCCCTCTCCTGTCCTGAACTGCAAACTTCTAAAGACCTCCTTCAATGTGCAGGATATGCGCAAAACCCTCCCAGGCTAAGCTATGTGCCCCTCTCTCTTACACTTGTTCAGTGATGATGTCTTCTTCACATTATCGCATGATAGTCGGTGATTTTTAGTTGATGTAACAGCTTTCAGTTCACCCGAGATGTGCATTATATTTCTCCTTGGGTAGATTATTTTCATCTAAAGAACAAGTTCAGAGTATTCTAATCATTTAAAAATTTAATTTTATATTCTGTGTCTTTAAAAACATTTTTTGAAATGTACATTATTTTTTAAAAAGCTCAGCTTCCTTTTATACACTAAAGTAAACTTCTCTTTTAATTCTTTATTTCCATAAACTTTATGTGAAATCTCTTAATATTTTTCAGGATACTAAAAGTTCACTCCTACAACACATATTTTTAAAGTGCTTGTCAAAATAGCCTGACCATTTTAACATTCATTGTTTCTACAGAATTATGGGATGAACATCAAAATACAAAATATATCAAAGATGAATTGTTGTGAACAATTTACCTGCTCCATTTTGATCAAGAAACAATCAATAAAATCCCAAGGATTGTTAATATCCAGGAATTTTTGGTGTTCTTTCACTTTCTCCAAAATGAAATTTTTTGTATAATCAAAAATCTTTATGAAAGTCTTATGAATTCCTGGCAAATAGTCCATAAGTGCAGGGAAATTATTGCAGACCTAAATAACAAGACAATAATTTGATGAATTACATATAATAAATTATATATAATAAATAACAAATGTGTATATATATATGTATATACACACACACACACAAAGCCCTGTTGGGAATTCGGTTGTAATTATGAATAAAATTTTGTGCCCATCTCAGGGAAAATTTTTATTTAAATATGTGGTAGTTCTATATGCTTATAGAAATATTTGAGGCAGAGAAATCTGACCAGAAGATCAAATATTAAAATCATTTGCTAGACTCACACATAATTTTTATAAAGGTAATGACAACTAACCAACCACAAAAAAGGAAACCTGTTGAAGTGAAAGGGACACTATGAGAAACAGTGGCTTGATCAACCCTTGTCCTGTTGATGTACAATTTAATACTTTATCCCTTTTAGTGTTTTTTGTTGTTGTTGTTGTTGTTCTAGTTAATACTATTGGTTGAACTCTGGAATTAACACACAATTATTCTTAGGTGTTTAAGTTTAACTGAAAAGTGATCCCTGTTAAATATAAGAGTGGGAATAAGAGAGGGAGGAGATATACAATTTGGGATATGCTCAAGCTGACTTGCCCCAAGTGGTGGAGTTAGAAATGTGCCAGGGGATTCCAATACAATCCCATCAAAGTGGCATGTACCAATGCTATCTCACTTGTCCAAGTGATCAATCTCAGTTCACAGTTGATCACACTGATAGGTCTAAGAGTCAAAAGGATCACACAAACAAGACTAGTGTCTGCTAATACTAACTGATAGAATCAAAAATGGAGAGAATGATCCAACATGGGAAGCAGGATACACAGAAGACTCATAGAATGGCAGATGTCCTAAACAGCACTCTGGCCTCAGAATCAGCCCTTAAGGCATTCGGATCTGGCTGAAGAGCCCATGAGAGTATTTTAGGCATGGAAAGCCAAGACACTCTGGCAAAAGAAAAAAAAAAGAGAAGAGGACCTAAATGAAAGATCTCTGCTAGTGAGATCCCAGTAGAAAGAAATGGCCATCAAAGAAGGACATAGCCTTCTCTGAAGGGAGGAGAGAACTTCCACTTTGACTATGACCTTGTCTAAATAAGAGCAAAGTCAGCGAACTCAAGAGGCTTCCATAGCCTTGGCAGCTCATGACTAGAGCCTAGGGAGTTTTCTGATGCCATAAACAAGAGTGTAAAAATGTTAAGTCAACAAGAGGAGTCACTGTGTACTTACTCCTCATGTGGGATCTCTGTCCTTAATGTGTTGTCCAATGTGAATTAATGCTATAACTAGTACTCAAACAGTATTTTACACTTTATGTTCTGTGTGGGTGCAAACTGATGAAATCTTTACTTAATATATACTAAATCGATCTTCTATATATAAAAATAATAGAAGATGAATCTTGATGTGAATGGAATGGGAGAGGGAGCGGGAGATGGGAGAGGTGCGGGTGGGAGGGAGGTTGTGGGGGGGAAATGCCATTGTAATCCATAAACTGTACTTTGGAAATTATATTTACTAAGTAAAAATTTTAAAAAATGATTCTTATTTTTTACATAAAAATATGTATGAATCTTATTTTTTACATAAATCTTTGTTATAAACTTGAAATATAAAAGGCAATCAGAATATTGTCGTCCAGCAGGTAAAGCTGGAATGCCAGCGTCGTATATTGTGTGCTCCCTCAAGTCCCATCTATGCCACTTCCTGCTACTGGGTCTGTGATGGCTCAAGTACTTAGATCAAGTATTTAGGTCCAGCTCCTGGCAGCTGCCTGGCCTAGCCCTGGTTGTTAGGGACATTCAGAAAGTGAACCAGCAAATGGAAGATCTCTGTTTCATTTCTCCCTGTCTCTGTGTTCCTGCCTTTCCAATAAATGAATATTTTAAGAATAAAACAGCCTGGATGTCCAGTGATTGACAAAGACTTTCTTTGTCTAGTCATCAAAGTGGGCTTTATAAAACCAAGGCTTGGTGTTCAGTGGAAAAATCACAGGACAAGAAGGTAATGAGCACAAACAGCAATCCAGTATTTGGACACTCGTTTCCTGTGTGTGAATAAAAGTTTCTATCATCTTTCACAGTGTTTAGTGACATCAGCTCTGTGGGGCCTGTGCTGTCTGAACAATCTCTTCACAGCTTGGTCCATGTGGACCTTTGCACTTGTCAGATAAAGGCACTTAAATGGTTTCTCAGGAACAAAAGATCTCACTCTCACCTGCAACCATGGAGAGCTAAGAATCCTAATATTTTCATTTAATCTTTCCATCAGTTTAAGAAAACCCTCATCTTTATAATCAAAGCGATTATGAAAAATAACAGAGCAGATCACATTGAGGGAGCACAGCCCAGGATAAAGATGAGGCTGAAGAATTGAAAACAATTTTAAAACACCATTAAAATATGCAGATAAAGCACTTTATTTTTGTCTATGGTAAGTTAGAAATTTTAAGCAATATCATATCTACAAATTCCGGGGACAGTAAGTAAATGGCACACATAAAATCAAATATCACTTTACTATAAGCCTGAGTTGACCATTACAACCTAGCTCGCTAAAAAATGCTATTTCCAATACTCAGTTCACATTCACTGTTTTTATGTGTACATTTTTATAACAAGAGATCTGCTGTTTGGGAAGGAAAATGCAAACCATTTTAAACTTAATAATTCAAATTTTCAGACTAGTTCACTTATTTGTGCAATGTCTGTAGACAACAGAGCACTGAAATGGTGAGCAGAAAATAGTGTGGGCCAGAAAACTTATAATAGAAAAAATCACAGTCACAAATAATGAAAATGCTGTGCTGAACCAGTATTGAGGAACTATAAAGACAAATTGTGGGTAAATTCACAAATTAAAAAAAAAAAAAAAACATTTTAAAAGCTGAAGGCATCCATGCAATATGAGAAAAGACAAAAATGAAAAAAATGAAGCAAGTTGGAGCTGGCATTGTGGCGCAGCAGGTTAAAACCCTGGCCTGAAGCACCAGCATCCCATATGTTCATCTGTTCTTGTCCCATCTGCTCCACTTCCTATTCAGCTCTCTGCTATGGCCTGGGAAAGCAGTAGAAGATGGCCCAAGTCCTGTGCCCCTGTATCCACGTGGGAGACCCAGAAGAAGGTCCTGGCTCCTGGCTGTCGCTCCCCCTCTTCGTGGAGGAACGACACAAGACCCTGCGCTGTTCTTTCTGTCTGCTCGGCCCTCCCCGGGTTTGCTGCTGGTTCTTCCCGGGTTGGCTACTATCCCTTCCACCTCCGTGGAAGGGCAGTTCCCCCTGGCCACATTCCCCACTTCCGCAGGGGAGCGGCACACCGCCGGCCGGCTCTCCTCGGGGGCTGCACAGGTGTTTCTTCAGCTAGATGTTCCCCTTAGATGTTCCCTGGTGCATGCCGTCTCTCTCCTCCTTTATAGTCCTCCTCCACCAATCCTAACTCGGCTGCCCACACGCCGAGTACGCTGACTTCCTCCAATCAGTAGCAAGTCCTACAGTTTATTGGTTGAACTGGAGGCAGCTGTGCAGAAGCTGTTTACTTCTCTCCCAGCGCCATATTGTGGGAGAGCAGATGCATAGAATAAGTCTTAATTCCAGTAACTCAGTCCAGTCCGGATTGCTCCCCACACTGGCCATCTGGAGAGTGAACCAGCAGATGGAAGACCTCTCTCTGTGTCTCTACCTCTCTCTGTAACTCTGTCTTTCAAATAAATAAAATAATTCTTTACAAAAAATGAAGCAAGTCATTGGCCTAGTGCTTATGATACCATCTAAGATGAACTGCATTCTAGATAGGGTGCTGGGTTCAACACCAGGCCCCACTCCTAACTCTACTTCCTGACAATTCAGACTCCTGGAGGCAGCAGGTAATGGCTCAAGTAGCTGAGTTCATGCCACTCAAGTGGGAGACCTAGTCGAGTATGCACTTCTGGCTCTATTATAGGCCTGGCATGTGGCATTCTGGGAAGTGAACTAGTAGATGAGATCTCTCTCCCTCTCTCTCTCTCAGTGTGTTCCTGTGTGTGTGTGTGTGTATCTCAATCTTTGACTTTCATTTTAAAGAAATCTTTGAAAAATAAGTAAGAAACAATAAGTTTAGGATGCATTTGCCTGCCTGAAGAAGAAAAGTGAGAATTTTTCATTTTTTTATTTCAAACATACATCCCAGATTGAAGAAGCTAAAAAATATTTGGAATCTTCTTTATCATGAGCTTCAATGTTAAAAGAAAACAATGAATTTCCTTTCTTGAGAAGTGAACAGCCAATATCTCTAATTGCTTTCCGTATTTAACATACTGGAGCAAAGCTGTCCTTTGGTGGATTCTAATATATTGTTCTGTACAACTATACCAAACTACGAAAGATGTTATATAAAATTTAAAAGTTACCTGTAAGTTAAGCAGATAAACAAATGAAAATACAAGAAAGGTTTTCATTTTAGATGGTACAGTGGAAATGCCACAATCAAACTACTATTTCTAACAGTTGAAATCTTGTTAAAAAATCATTTTATGGAATAATGTTTATTTTGCATAACTAGGCATATACGTAATACAGGGTATATTTACTTAAGAGAGATAAATCAATAGAGGAAGTAGACTCAACAATGGACAGCAATTTTTATAAAAAGGGTGATGACAGAGAATAGCAAGTGACAAGAACCTTGTTAGGAATTGCCTAGGGAGACAAAACTGCACGTATCACCACTGGTGTCCAGCACTAGGCCTGGGCCTGGGTAAACCTCAGACAGGTCAGTGAAGCTGAGCATGCAGATGTGAACGCCAGCGAGGGTCATTTCTTGCCCCATAAGAGGCTGATGGGTCATTGCCACCTATGCATTTGCCAAGTCTCCACCATGGAATGTTCTACAATAGATAACAGCATTCAGGCTATGGGGAAAATATTGCTCTTCAGTTCTTTCAGAAAATACACTCAAAACTTATATTCATGATTTCTGATAGGAAATTACAGAAACTGACTTGAGACAGAAGAGTATTAAATGAACTTTTACAGACGCACCAGATGCAAAACCATGCTGTACACAGAGCACAGATCCGCACAAACTCCCCACTTCTCTGTTTCAAACCTCCCCTCCCACCATGGGAGCAGCAACCAGGCCTCAGGATGAAGGCTCTGCGCACCCTGCAAGGTTTCCCAGGCCAGCATATTTGGGGGAGCAGTGTGAGGTCAGCGATGTGGGGTAAGGGTCACCCACTGCTCGTTTTTCTCAGCTCCTCCACCAGGCAGAGGGCCTCCTCTTGAACTTGGTCCTCAATGCTCCTCTTCCCCATCCCGAAATTCTGCAGGGTCATGAGTGAGAAGCGCCACATCTCCTTCCATGTCTTTGCATTGCTTAAAACAATTCTTGCCAGAATGAGAAACAGAAACTTGGAGGGAGGGAGATCCCAGCAAGTAGGAAGAAGCTGACATGAGGCAGCCACACAGATGGCCAAGTTCTGTCTGAGTTGCTTGTCAAGTTCTGTTTTCTAACCTCTCTATCTCATTACCACTATTTAACACACACGCACACACACACTTACCTAGTCCTTTATTAACTTTTTCACCTATAAGAACACTGCCTCTTCCAGCAAACTCCTCTCCAAGATCAACCAGGGCCTCCTTCACTGCCTTGTATCCATGCAGCACCACAGTGGGCTTCATGCCCAGATACACAGTGAACACGGGGCCATAGCATTCTGAGACCTGGGAAGAGAAACCAATACCACCAAAGAAACCACATATCAGCCACAGAGTGTGTCTGATTCAGACAGAAATTAGCATTGTCTATGTTATCTCTTTATTCTGCCATGGATTCAAATATTTCTGTTTATATTAAATAGTGATTATTATGGCTGCCACTCATGAATGACCTGTGATGTTCCATACAATAGCTCATGTAGTTGGTATGCAATTGCCAGTTAATTCTCAAACAACACACTCAACAAGTTTGCAGTGTTTCATAGAAAAAGTAACTGGGGTCTAGCATTCCAAATTTATTTCCAGTTTCCTTTCACCAAAAATTAGAAGCTATTTGCTGCTTATTCAACCTCTGTGGCTTGAAATCAATACCTAGCTGACTTCAGGATCACATGGCAAGCTCTTCTCATAAGGATCCTGACTCAGTAGGCCCATGATGACACTAGTGATGTATATTCTTAAAAGCCAACCCAAGTGAATCTAATGTTCAACCCAGTATGAAATCTTCTGGTATTAATAAGACAGGGAATGAGCAAGCTGCTTTCTCTCTGTGTCTCTCTTTCTGTTATTTTGCCTTTCAAATATATAAAATAGTCTTGAAAAAAATAATCTGTCACCCTCATGGGAGACCAAGGAAGAGTTTCTGGCTCCTGACTGGCCCAGCTCAGCGCTGATCATTGGAGTCCTTTGTGCAGTCAAACAGCAGATGGGATCTCTTTTTTGTTTGTTTAATTAAAAGGCAGAGTTACAGAGAGAGGGGGAGAGACAGAGAGGGACAGATCCTCCATCTACTGGTTCACTCCCCAAATGAGAACAATGACCAGGGCTGGGCCAGGCTGATGCCAGAACCAGGAGCTTCAAGTGGATCTCCTTCAAGGGTGCAGGGGCCCAAGGAATTGCCTCATCCTCTGCTGCTTTCCCAGGTACATTAGCAGGAAGCTGGATGAAAAGTAGAGCAACCTGGTATTGAACTGGCTCCATATGGGATGCTCATGTCAGATTTCCTGGCTTTAATGTTATTCTACAAGACTGGCCAGGAGATCTCTTATTTATTCTGTCTGTCCCTCTGTATCACTCTGCTTTTGATTAAATAAAATAAAGCTAGAAGAAGAAGAAAAAGAAGGAGGAGAAGGAAGAGGAAGATCAAGAAGGAGAATGAGAAGCAGACACAGAAGCAGTAGCAGAAGGAGAAGCAGGAGGAGGAAGAGGAGGAGGAGGAGGAGAATCAGAAGGAGAGGAGAAGGAGAATCAGCAGAGGCAGGGCCAAGACATCTCAAGCAGCATCTCAGGGAGGAGCAGCTTCTTTCATCCTGTATCATTCTGGGCCACACAGCAGGGTTTCACAGAATCTAAAAGAATTCTGATGCCACCAGTTGGCCACTGAATGTTTACTTCTCTCTTTCTTTCACCTAGACTACTCCAGAACCCATAGCTTGATACAAGTTTTTACTGATTCTGCAGAGATGTTCAATTTCCATGGATATTCTGAAAAAAGAAACAACATGTATAATACAATAGATGATTTCTTGAATGAAATTTCTATCAGAAGCTCTTCACTTGTCCGTGACCTGCAGGCAAAAGCTGAAAATCAAAGAAGATCCTCAGTACTCCTGATTTTTGTCACTTAATTATTTTGATTCTATCTACGGGGACCTATATTTCTCCACTCATCTCCTGAAATTGGTAGAAGAAGCATCAAAGCTTACAGAGAGCATTTTGATTTATAAACATTTGTTATAAGAGTCTGCATCTGGGAATAGATTTTATTTTCAAAAGAGTCAATCTATTTACCCTTTGCATGCCACAGGAGGAGCATAATGAATACTTGCCTTAGTTGGGGATTTGCTGATGTCCTTAACATCTATCTGGAGAATATTTCCAATGATGGGGAAAGGAGTGGGGCCAGGAGGGAGCTTCCCTCTCCCAGAATTCTGCTTCCAGAGTGAAGGGAGAAGCAAACAGCAGAGCCCCAACACCAGGACCACAACTGGATCCATTCTCTTCTTCCTGGGATCCGTGTGAGCTGGGAAGCACAGACTTTATACCACTCTTACTAACATGCTTCTCTGACGTGTCTAGCAACAGTGAACTCTATCCTCTCTTCTGAGTGAACTTTGCCTCCATGACAGAGATGAAAATAAGACACTCGTTAGTCCTATCACTTTGTTTCCTGTGCCTACTCGGGAAATTGCAATTTCATTGTACTGGGGGGGGGGGTGTGCTCATGTATTGGTTATTGAAAAAAAAGAAAAGAAAAACAGGTGGTTTCAATATTCATCCATGAATGAAAGTTAATTATGACACAAGAAAATTATGCTAAATTCTGTGTCTATAAATAATGTTCACTTGAGAATTTATGACTGAAAGAAATGACAATATGCTATGACATATATTAATGCATTATAAATATAAAATATATATGTATTTTATTTATAGAAAATGTATACGTGAGTGTGACTTGAAGCTATGTCAAAATGAATTTATCTAAATGAAAAGAAATCAACATATGAAAGAGACATCTGTACTCCCAAGTTTATTGTAGCTCAATTCATAATATCTAAGAAACGGAATCAACCCAGAAGTCAATCAACTGACGACTGTATAAAGAAATTATCATACACACATACAAGCTATGAAATACTGCACAGTGGTCAACAAACATGGATGTAACCCTAAATTATTAAACTTAGTGAAATAAAGCAGTCCAAAAAAGATAAATGCTATATTTGCTCTCTGATTTGTGGTAACTAACAGAGTACACACTAACACAGCTAATGTGATCACTTATGGTAAGAAACTTGAAACTTCCTGGTTAAGGTCATGAATAAGGCAGGATGTCTCCTCTTACCACTCCTATTTGGCATCCTACTAAACATTCCATCTAATGTAACAACAAGAAAAGTAGATTAAATATGCCAATTTGGAAGTAATAAATAAAATTGTCCTTGTTTGCACACCATATGATTGACTATGTAGAAAATTTCAAAGATTTAAAAAAAAGCTAAAAGCAAGAAAATCAAAGTTAAAAAAGCAAATAACAAAAAACTCCCAAATCTATTTAATAATTCTAGTATGTTTCAGGGTGCAAGTTTAATATGAAGAATTCAACTTTTTTCTATAGCATAGCAATGAAAAATTAACTTTTGAAATGAAAAACTGTTTTCAGTTAAATTTAAACACCTAAGAATAATTGTGTGTTAATTACAGAGTTCAACCAATAGTATTAGGTAGAACAAAAAAAAATACTAAAAGGGATAAAGTATTAAATTGTACATCAACAGTCAGGACAAGGGCTTATCAAGTCACTCTTTCTCTTAGTGTCCATTTTACTTCAGCAGGTTTCCTTTTTGGTGCTCGGTTAGCTGTCACCGATCAGGGAGAACATATGATATTTGTCCTTTGGGACTTGCTTAATTCATTCAGCATAATGTTTTCCAGATTCCTCCATTTTGTTGCAAATGACTGGATTTCATTTTTTTTTTTTTTACTGCTGTATAGTATTCTGTAGAGCACATGTCCCATAATTTCTTTATCCAGTCTACTGTTGAGGGGCATATGGGTTGTTTCCAGAAAAAAATATGGAAGAATTCACGAAATTGCGTGTCATCCTTGCACAGAAGCCATGCTAATCTTCTCTGTATCATTACAATTTTAGTATATGTGCTGCGGAAGGAAGCACTCTAAACTGTATTTTAAAAGTTAAGTCTTGTCAAGACCAACTTAGAAAATGTTTTATTGGTCAAGAATAAAGAGATTCTGATAATTTTGTTTTTTGACAGACAGAGTGAACAGTGAGAGAGAGAGAGAGAGAGAGAGAGAGAAAGGTCTTCCTTTTTTTGCCGTTGGTTCACCCTCCAATGGCCGCTGCAGCCGGTGTACCGCGCTGATCTGAAGGCAGGAGCCAGGTGCTTCTCCTGGTCTCCCATGGGGTGCAGGGCCCAAGCACTTGGGCCATCCTCCACTGCACTCCTGGGCCATAGCAGAGAGCTGGCCTGGAAGAGGGGCAACCAGGACAGAATCTGGCACCCCGACCAGGACTAGAACCCGGTGTGCCAGCGCCACTAGGTGGAGGATTAGCCTGTTGAGCCGCGGTGCTGGCAAGAGATTCTAATTAACAGAGAGGTTCACACCCTACACATTCTTTGGATTCTGTTCCCTTTGCCTAAGGTAAAATCATTCAATTTCAGGGATGAGGAAATTTGGCCTTGGGGACTCAGTTCCAAGGCCAAAGACACACAAACTGCTGATGTTAGGCTTCTGAACTGACCCCATGTGTCCCATGTCTTGCTCTCTTCCACAAGCAAGACTTTCCTTTCACTTGGGTTCAGGAACGTTTTCAGAGTGTGCTGTGATTCTCTATTGCGTGACTCACTCTAATCAGTCACTTGAAAAACAAACATGATTTATTTAATGATTACCACAACAATTGATTAAAATCAGGGTCAAAAAAGTTCAGAACATGAACAATTCCACTTCTTGGTGAATGCTACATCCAGGGCAAACAGAAGAAATCTTCTGCCTAATTCACATAGTTCTAAACTCTTAACAGAACCACAGCAATTTGTTTTGGGTTCAATGTGCTCTGTCACTCTCTTTACAGCAATCACATTACTCTTTGAAGATAAATGACCCTGCTCTGTATCTCCTCCTTTCACATGAGCTGACGTCCTGCCTGAACTTTTCATATACACATAGTGTTTATAAAAATCCTGGATAATCTTCCTCAAAAAGTAGAGAGATGGGAGGCCTATACTGTGGCATAGTGGGTAAATCAATGCCTACAGTACCAGCAACCCATGTAGGCAACAGGTTTGAGTCCCATCTTCTCCAGTTCCAATCCTGCTCTCAGAGATGGCCTGGGAAAGTGGTGGAAGATGGTCCAAGTCTTTGTATTCCTGCACCTGTGTGGGAAACCCAGAAGAAGCTCATGGCTCCTGCCTTTGGATCACAAATCTCTGGCCATTGCGGCCATCTGAGGAGGGAAAACAGAAAACGGAAGACCTCTCTCTCTCTGCCTCTCTTTCTCTCTCAGTGTTAACTCTTACTTTCAAATAAATAAATTAATTGAAAAAAAAAAAAAAACTAAGGAAAGCAAAGTAGAGAGATGGACAGGGATAAAAAGATGAGACAGAGTGACCTCCCATGCGCAGTTTCACTCCTCTAAGCCCCACAATGACTGGTGCTTGGTCAAACTAGAACTGAGTGCCAGAAACTCAATGCAAGCCAAGCACATACGTAGCATGGCCCCAAGAACATGAGTCATTGCCTGCTGCCTGTCAGGGTGTGCGATATCAGGAACATGGAATGGAGAGCATCACTGAGACTCAAACTCAGGTCCTGTTAGAAAATGCAGGAATCCCAAATGGCATATTAAGTATTCCACCAAACACTAGCCCCACGGTCATATAATCCTAAGATAAAAGGGATCTCTGAGATCAGCTAGTCCAAATTTGTTTTGATGTTTAAGGATGAGCAATTGGTACCTCAGTGAAATATAGTGTCACCAATACAGCAATAAAAGAACTTGTTGGGGCCGGCGCCATGGCTCACTTGTTTAATCCTCCACCTGCGGCACCGGCACCCCAGTGGACACGGGGTTCTAACCCCAGTTGCTCCTCTTCCAGTCCAGCTCTCTGCTGTGGCCCAGGAGTGCAGTGGAGGATGGCCAAAGTGCTTGAGCCCTGCACTCGCGTAGGAAATCAGGAGGAAGCACCCGGCACCTGGCTTCAGATCAGTGCAGCTACAGCTGTAACGGCCATTTGGGGAGTGAACCAACGGAAGGAAGACCTTTCTCTCTGTCTCTCTCTCTCACTGTGTATAACTCTACCTGTCAAATAGAAAATGAATAAATAAATAAATATATAAATAAATAAATAACTTGTCTTAGAATCCAAGTTTTCCATCCTTCAGTTCAGTGAATTCTCACATCCCATCGTATGGAATCCTGATCTCAGTTCAAATATTCAGGAGATGAACACTGTTAAACCACAACAATAGTAGAATTATACAAACTCAGCTTCCCTAGAACTGTCAGTTAGAATAAGAATTTTGTTGTACATTTCTAGAATTTGTTTCCGCAATACAGCTTAAGTTTCACAGAAAAACTAAAGAGTAAATTTGACAATGGCCATGTGTGTCCTCTCCACACTCACACTCAGACTTTCCTACAATTAATAACTCTCATTTGTAAGCTTTCTTACATACATTGAACCAACATCACCAGGAGTTCATATTTTACATACCATTCACTCCTGCCTTGTTAATTCTATCAAATTGACCAATGTTATTGAGCTATGTGCACAATTGTGGTATCGTACAGAATAAATTCACTACCCCAAAACCCTCCGTTCTCTGTTTATTCATCTCTCACAACTACCCCCACCTCACCCACTGCTCTGAGGCCTCTGCCCACAAATCACCTTTGCAAGGGGGAAAGGACAAAAGGAAAATATCCATATTTTTTTCTTTTCTTTATTTTCATTTTTTTTTTTTGGCCTATGAGTGTTCGATTTTTCTGGAGCACTTTTGAAATGGCTATACTTTCTACTTAGAGCTGCCTTTGCTCTTTTTCAAAAATTATTGAATATATTTGTCTGGATTTATTTCTGTCTATTATGTTCCAGAATTTATTTGTCTATTTTTACCAATATACTTTAATATAAGGAATAAAAACTTCATGCATTTCATACACACAAATTTAAGATCTAGTGGTTCTTCTACACTACGGTCCTCCCCCCCTCCCCACAATTCATATTTTAATAGGGAAACCTCCAGTGTTCCTCAGTTCCAGGTTTCCCATTATCTTGGCAGGTGATCAGCAACACCTGCTTGCAGTCCACCTTCCACCACAGCTAGCCTTTTGCTCAGGATAATTGCTCCACAGCACCCAAGGTCCTGAGGCTGCTGCTCCAGTTCACTCACTTCCACCCCCAACAGACTCATGGTACAGGGAACTCGATGTGACTGGCACCAAACAGTACACTGGAGTGTGTCTGGTCAAGGTTTCTAAATATTTGCCACAGCAATGGGCTAAGCTCCTGGAAGAGGAGAAGTTGAGAAACTGTGGACTGTCAAGAATTAAGGAAGGACTCTGGTGTCCTTTTCTTTGGATGAAGATCTCTCAAATATTCATGATTCTGGTGTGAAACCAGCTCTAGTTAGTGCTCCTCAAGATCATCCGTGTGTCTGGCAAACTGCTGGATGGTAAACAGTATTTACTGAGAGCTCCTTGGAGAGGCTGTCTCAGGAAGGAGCTGGAATAAAGAGCTGAGTGCCAACATGCTGCCAGTGAGAATTACATGAGATTGAAGAGATGGCAAACAGAAGAATCTCCCAAAGCAGTAAGACCAACCCAACAACGGGGTATAGTTGTAACAACCAACTACAAACCTGATGCTAATCATCAATACTACATTGACTATGAAAGGAGAAACAAGATGGAAAACAAGCCCGAGCTGATAACAGCAAGCTTTAGCCAGGCTGTTTTCAGCCTTTGAGAAGCACTAGTATTCCAATCTGAGGGACCTGGTGGACATCACAAAACAGCCTGTGGGCTACCAGAAGGAAATCTTGAGAGAAGTTGGTATTCAGAATGTAAAAGACATCCACAAAAATATGTGGGAGCTGAGGCTAGAATATGGACAGTATGAGAGGAAGAAAGGAAAGATTAAGCCAGTGCCTGGGGAGCTGGCTGGTGGGCCCCCTGCAGGGTGACACTGAACCTCAGCCTTGATTCTGGACACTTGAGTGCATGGGCCTGTAGCAGTAACATGGCTGGTACTGTTGTTTCTCTTTGTCAATTGTTTAAAACGGTTATTCTTACAAAGTTTCATAAATGTTTTTGAGAAAAAATAAATTGAGTTATAGACTTGTATCAAACCAGATTATCCATGAATAGGATAGGGTTAGGGGATTAAAAGGGTTTTTCTTTTTAAACATTACCTTCTAAATGTAATATGAGGAATTTGTTTTCTAGATTAAGACTTTGTCTTCCTCTATCTCTTGAGGAGCAGAGGTAATGTGGATTTAAAGAGAGGAATGTCAGCTACAGAAACTGTTAAGAATGAAAAGCCAAGGTTACACACTCCAAAAATTCCTGAAGAACCATCTGTTTAAAAAAAATGGAGGGAGAAGGTGCCCGTGTTTCATGTCCAAACACACATTAATAAAAGGAGAGCATATAGGTTTATAGTGAAATGTCAGTTTTCATCCTGAGTTCATTGTACTCAATGATATTGATATGAGAAATGGAGAAAAACTTGCTCAGTTAGGACTTCTTGGAGCCAGCCTTGTGGCAGTGCAGGTAAAGCTGCCACCTGCATTGCAGATTTCCCATACTGGTGCTTATTCAAGGCCTGGCTGCTCTACTTCCAGTACAACTGCCTGCTAATGGCCTGAGGAAAGCACCCAAAATGGACCAAGTGCTTGGCCCATGCTACCCACATAAGAGACCAGGAAGACACTCTTAGCTCCTGGCTTCTGCCTGGCCCAGAGCTGGCCAACACAGCCATCTAGGGAGTGAACCAGAAGATGGATCTTTCCTTCTCTGTAGATTTGACTTTAAAATAAAAAATAAATAGAAAGAAACAAAATCATAACCTCCAAGGAGATGATATTAGAAGATGGATTATTTGATAGATTTTTAGGTCATGAGCTTGGTGCCCCCATAATTGAGATTTCTGCCTTCTATAAGAGACCCCAGAGAACCCCTTCATCCCATCTGACACATGGAGACACAGCTAGAAGATGCCATCTACACACCAGGAAGATCCACACCAGATAACAAATGTGCTGGAGCCTTAATCTTAGACTTCCCAGCTTCCAGAAGTGTGAGAAGTAAATTTCTGTTCTTTATAAGCCACCAAGTCTATGACATTTTTTACATCAGTCTCAACAGACTGAGACTCAGTTCCGTACGAGTGAAGTTAAAGAAATTCTCGTGCTGAAAAATGGTCTATCATTTCTAAAGGATTCCATCTAAATTCAAATTTACTGGTTGACAGACAATCTATATGTGTAGTGGGAAGATAAGTGGGCTGATCTGATTAATAAAATTAACGAAAAGTCAAGTTAAAGATGATGTCTACTGCTCATATTGTCCATATTCATATTCATCTGTTTTGTCTGCACAAGATCAGGAGAACCACATCCTTACAGAACAAATTGTTGAATGGCAACAGTGTCTCTTTAAGCTTGCTTGGAATCACAGACTTCTCTCTGAGACCTCCCACCCATAATTCCCAAAACCTAAGCCTGGGCCAGTGCCACGGCTCAATAGGCGAATCCTCCACCTGTGGCGCCAGCACACTGGGTTCTAGTCCCGGTTGGGGCGCCGGATTCTTTCCCGATTGCTCCTCTTCTAGTCCAGCTCTCTGCTGTGGCCAGGGAGTGCAGTGGAGGATGGCCCAAGTGCTTGGGCCCTGCACCCGCATTGGAGACCAGGAGAAGCACCTGGCTCCTGGCTTTGGATCAGTGCGGTGTGCCATCAGTAGCACACAGGCAGCAGCAGCCATTGTGGGGTGAACCAACAGAAAAAGGAAGACCTTTCTTTCTGTCTCTCACTGTCCACTCTGGTTGTCAAAAAGAATGAACGAAAGAAAGGAAGGAAGGAAGGAAGGAAGGAAGGAAGGAAGGAAGGAAGGATTAAAAAAATTTAAAAAAAACCTAAGCCTGTAGGAAATTCCTCTGCCTTCCTCCACCCTTGAACACCTTTATGGATCAGGGTCAGTGCCAGACCTGGAGGCTCAACAGTGATCCAAATATCAGGACAGCTGAGTTCCAGAAGCTGAACCCTCCCAGGGGGGAGCTGTGGCCTCTGGACAGCTCTCTTTAAACCAGGACCCGAGAGCCTCAAGACTGCAGAAACCCTTAGAGAGTACAACTCTGGGAAGAAGATTGGTGGAAACAAGACACATTCATAATGAAGACGTTCTTCCACTTTGCCAGCCCTGGAATACTGTATCTGATGGTGGGTATTAGAAGTTGCTGACTGTAACTGAGGAAGGGCCACCTTCTGGATGTGATGGTCATGAGTGCCAAGAATGTGAGTCTTCCTGTGGGGTTTGCCTCCATCTGACCTGAGCAAGACTGTGTGATGCCTCACCATAGGGAAGCTGGACCTGACATTAGAGGGGTTTGGAGAGCCTCCAGCCTATGCGATATTTCCTAATTCTAATAATAGGATTTGAATCTGGCTTCTGATCCAGCTCTCTGCTATTTCCTGGGAAAGAAGTAGAGGATGGCCCACATCCTTGAGTCCCTGCACCTGCGTGGGAGACCCGGAAGAATCTCCTGGCTCCTGGCTTTGGTTGGGCACAGCTTTGGATGTTGCAGCCAATGGGGAAGTATACCAGTGGATGGAAGACCTCTCTATTTCTCTCTGCCTCTCCTATCTCTGTGTAAATATGACTTTCCAATAAATAAATAAATCTTTAAAAAAAAAGCTTAAGAATGTACATGTAGTAAGAGTCTGGTGTTAGAAAAACATTTAATGCTATATGTATGTGATTATATGTACTGTATATTCTCTGAAAATATATAACTACACAATCATATGTGTACAGAAACAAGTAAATCTTTATAATAGTTTATTAACTGGGGCACAGTAGGTTCAGCCCCTGTTTAAACACCAACATGCCATATTGAAATGGCAGTTCAAGTGCTGACTGCTCCTCCTCCAACCATCTCCCTGTTAATGCAACTGGGAAGGCAGGAGAAGATGGACCAGGTACATGGATCCCTGCAATCCACAAGGGTGACCAGGATATAGTTCAAGACTCCTGGATTTAGCGTGTGTTAGACGTAGCTGCTGCAGCCATTTGTAAAGGGAACCAGAGGATGGAATATTTCTGTCTCTCCCTCTCTATATGTCATTCTACATTTCAAATAAATATAAATTTTTAAAAGTAAGTACTACCTTAAAAGTGCATGACAATGTGTCTTCCTCTGGGAGATGAGCTCAGAAAGGGACATGAGTGATGTCACTTTAAATTTCAGATACAGAGGAAGGGAAACACATGGTTAAAATATGAGGAGTATCTGATTTTCAGTTACCTTTGGTTTAGAGAGGAAAAGAGGCTGATTAATTCAAGGACATAGCCCAAAATTACTTTCAAAATTATGTTAAGTGTGAAAGGACATGATGGAATGTAGAAAAATAACATAGGCTTTCCATGGGTTTTGATCATGTTCCGGAAAAAGGCACTGAGAACATAAGATTAGAAATAGAACAATGCACATGTTTACCTGCCTCTAAATTGAAAACAGGGAGTAAAATGATATTCCAAATTTTTCTTCTATGTTCACGGTAGCCACAAAAAGGAATATGAGACTGTGAAATCTAAAGATCATCTTCCTTTAATCTGATCCTCTCAACTTTCCCTACAGGTTAGAATTGTTCTTAGCATAGTTTCTTTTAGGGCCCAGCATAGTGGATAAGCAGGTAAAGCCAGGAAAAGCAGTAGAAGATGGCCCCATTGTTTGGGTTCCTGATACCCATATAGTAGACTTGGATGAAGCTCCTAACTTTTCTGGATAAGCCCTAGCCATTACAGCTTTTTGTAAAGAAACCAGTTAGTGGAAGAACGATCTCTCTCTCTCTCTCTCTCTCTCGCTCTCGCTCTCGCTCTTGCTCTCTTTCCCTCCCGCTACTTCAACCTCCGCCCTCCTATTCACTCTCTCCCCCATCTCTATAACTCTGACTTTCAAATAAATAAATAACTAAATCTTTAAAAGCTTTGTTTCTCTCTTCTGAAACCACAAATCAAATAATTCCAGTTGACATTCAGACAAGACAGCTTTCTACCATCTTCCCTTTCATCCCTCTATCTGCTTGTCATTATGAAGACTGGTGTGACCTATTGGGATTCTGTTTTCTTTTATTTCTTATCTGCTTGATGCACAAATGAAGAGACTACAGAGAACTGACACTAGGATTATTATTTTCTTTTTATTTAGAACATAGGGACTGAAGTATGGGTCTAAATTGTCATATCTTAATATTTATTTCTGTTTTATAGTGATAAGACTTGGTAAAGCAGCATTGATATGAATTGGCAAATGTGGAAATCAGTGTAGGTGTTGCAGAATGTAGGAAACAGCAGATATCCCTGTGATAAGATCCCACTAAACTCCTATAATGGAGGTTGAGTGTTCACTGGATCTGATGGAATAGTAAGATGTGAGAGAAGTCATGGAGGGTGTCTCTGATAGAGGAAGGGATAGACAATGCCTCTGAAGAGAAGGAGTTGCAGACAACAGCACAGAGGCAGAGAGTTTGTTCTCTTTCAAATAGGAATGAAGCAGAGCTGGTAGGAAGGTGGCACAGAAACAAATCCATTGACAACTGCAGTGATGTCCAGGTCCTTTGGCTCAACCAGAGATTGCAGTTTAAAGTTCTGCAAAATGGAGGTCAGGAACAAAAACAGCTCCATGCGGGCCAGGCCCTCTCCCACACACATCCGTTTTCCTGAGAATAGCAAACAGAGAGGATAATCACTTGCTGTGTGTAACTGTGAATGTAACAAACATTGTGTTAGTAACTGGTAGAAAGAAAACAGACAGTAATTGATGGATGCATGGAAGTTTGGAAAGGTTTGTATAGACAAATGTATAGGGTCTGGCACATTCTCTCTCCTCTTAGCCCTAGCCATACATATTTTTTGACAGGCAGAGTGGACAGTGAGAGAGAGAGAGAGAGAGAGAGAGAGACAGAGAGAAAGGTCTTCCTCTTTTTTTGCCGTTGGTTCACCCTCCAATGGCCGCCGCGGCCAGTGCGCTGCGGCTGGCGCACCACGATGATCAAAAGCTAGGAGCCAAGTGCTTTTCCTGGTCTCCCATGTGGGTGCAGGGCCCAAGCACTTGGGCCATCCTCCACTGCACTCCTGGGCCATAGCAGGGAGCTGGCCTGGAAGAGGGACAACCGCGACAGAATCTGGCGCCCTGACCAGCACTGGAACCTGGTGTGCTGGCGCAGCATGGCGGAGGATTAGCCTATTGAGCCACAGAGCTTGCCAACCATACATTTTTCAGCAACTTCTGATGCGCAATCAAGTTTCAGGTTTTGCATTCTACTGTTCTTTCTGACTGAAAAAAACAGTGTTCTGATTCTTTCATTCAACATCTATTTAATACTGTGCTGCTTTCCTCTTCTGTCCATTATGTCTTGTTCTTTTGAGAGAGATGACGTGTCATATTTACAAAATTTTTTGATAGGCAGAGTGGACAGTGAGAGAGAGAGAGAGAGAGAGAGACAAAGAGAAAGGTCTTCCTTTACCATTGGTTCACCCTCCAATGGCTGTCATGGTCAGCGCGATGCGCTGATCCGAAGCCAGGAGCCAGGTGCTTATCCTGGTCTCCCATACTTGTGCAGGGCCCAAGCACTTGGGCCATCCTCCACTGCACTCTCGGGACACAGCAGAGAGCTGGACTGGAAGAGGGGCAACCAGGAGAGATTCTGGCGCCCTGACCGGGAATAGAACCTGGGGTGCAAGTGCCGCAAGCGGAGGATTAGCATATTGAGCCGCGGTGCTGGCCATATTTACTATTAGAATGTTGGGTACTCCATGCCGTGCCTTACACTGGGTATGAGATTGTAAGAATCAGATACATTCTCTCCATGTGCTTCCTCCGTCTCCCCTGCAGACTACGCATCCCTCTCCTACAGCACTAAAAAAAATGGAATCTGATGGTATTTACTCAACTAGTCACTGATTTGGGTGAGGTCTTTGAGTGCTGTTCTGTGCTTGCTCATACTTTCATTTCCAGACAAGACTCTGCAGGGTGAGAGACACCACATAGAAGAATTTCAGTGAAGTTGTGGAGTTAACATGTTTATCGTGGTGTGTGATGAAACTCTTCTCAGTTTTACCTTCTAGGTATAGATCTTAGGAACCATGAGACTGCATCTAGAGGAAGAATTCAATCAACCTATAGTTTAGATTTCTCAGTGTGGCAGGAACGTGTCAACAAACAGAGCCTCAGGAACCTTGTCAATAATGAGGATGTATTGTGAGCAGAAAAGTTCATTGACATTGGGAGCGGTGTTCCTGATCGTGTACAAAGAGGAATTTACCAATTCCCGAGAAAGTACCATGATACCAAAAAGTTAGCTAGTTCCAAAACCAGCGAAAGATACAGCAAAGATTGAGACCTAGAGACCAAAATGAGCATTCAGCAAGAATTCTCAGCTGAATACTAGCTAATCAAATCCAACAATATTTTAAAAACAGTATTCAACTGAAACAAGTGAGATTGTTCTCTGGTATGCAGACATAGTTCAACATATGCAATTCAATAAATGTAATACGTCATATTAATAACTGTAGAATAAAAACCATATGATTAACTCAATAGGTGCAGAGAAATCCTTTAATAATGCAAAGCACGACTTCATGATCAAAACTTTAAGCAAAATGTGTCTAGAAGGATCAATCCTTTACATAAATGTATATGATGATCCCATAGCCAGCATCATACTGAATGGGGAAAAATTGGAAGCATTTCAATTAAGATGTGGAACCACACAAGGATGTCTACTTTTACCATTACTATTCAATACAGTTGCTGAAATTTTGTCATAGCTATTGTGCAATAAAGAAATCAAAGATATACAAATTAGAATGCAGGAAGTCAAAGTCTCCCTGTTTGCAGATGACATGATCCTATATTTAAGGGAACTAAGGAACACCACCAAGGGACTATTGGAACTCATAAAAGATTTTGCAGGATAAAAAAATCAACACATGAAAATCAGTAATATTTGGATGCAAAGACAATGCCATGGTTGAGAAAGAAATAGTAAGATTACATTCACTGGACCGGCGCCACGGCTCAATAGGCTAATCCTCCAACTTGTGGCGCCGGCACACCGGGTTCTAGTCCCGGTCGGGGCGCTGGATTCTGTCCCAGTTGCTCCTCTTCCAGGCCAGCTCTCTGCTGTGGCCAGGGAGTGCAGTGGAGGATGGCCCAAGTCCTTGGGCCCTGTACCCCATGGGAGACCAGGATAAGCACCTGGCTCCTGCCATCGGATCAGCGCGGTGCAATGGCCGCAGCGCACTGGCCGCAGTGGCCATTGGAGGGTGAACCAACGGCAAAGGAAGACCTTTCTCTCTGTCTCTCTCTCTCACTGTCCACTCTGCCTGTCAAAAAAAAAAAAAAAAAGATTACCTTCACTGACAATAGCTAGAAAAAATTAAATATCTTGGAGTAAATGTAACCAGGGGTATGAAAGATCTCTATAATGAAAATTTTAAAAATTAAGTAAAAACAGAAAAAGACACAACAAATGAAAAAATCTTTCATTTTCTTCTATTGTAAGGTGTAATATCATAAATGTGCATACTATCCCAAACATTTTGCAAAATACCAATGACATTCTTTTCAGATCTAGAAAAAAATGAAACTAAAATTCATATGGAAACATAAGAAATTCCCATTGTTTATTTTACCTTGATTCATAGTGGATGTTATAGACTGAACTCAGCTATGCATCACCTAATAACTTGATGAAGAAACTATGATTATATATACACAGTGGAATACACATCAACAAAAATCCTGTCTTTTATAGCTAGAAACCTTATGCTTGGTGAAATAGGCCAGTCCCAAAAAGACAAATACCATATGTTTTCCCTGATAGGTGTTGACAGAGTTCAAAAAAGTGTAATGTATATGAACAAAATCACATTTAAGATTTGATTATGGTTAATGCCCTTATCAATACTCTTGAGGAAGCGAGGTTTTTCTACTTACCACTGGTTGAATTCTTTATTTATTTGAGGGTTATACTTGTGAACATAAAACAAACTGAAAGTATATCAGTGTACAAAGGAAAAGAAAAAAGAAGGAAAGAGGAGGGAGGGTGGGAGTGTGGGAGGGATGCAGTGTATGGTGGGTAGTATTATGCTCTTACATCTGTACATGTGGAATACATGAAATTTGTTCACTCTATATGACAAAAATTTGAATTAAAAGAGTTATCTTCTCTGAAATTCCATGGAAATGAATTTTTCACCTGCTGAGAAAGGCATGAAGTAGTCACTCTTCTTAAAGTTGCCACTCTCATCCAGAAAGTGTCCAGGGTCAAATACCTTTGGGTTAGGAAATGCTTTTTCATCATGTAGCACGGATGTCAGTGATGTTATGATGTCCGTACCCTGGATAAAACAGACACAGATCATCAAAGTATGAAGAAGTCACTGTGCTGGGTAAAAAAGAGAAAAGTGGAAATCACTTAGGACAATTTTTGATCAATAAAAGAAGAAGCCCAAGTCCCAGGAAGAGCAGTGACATCCCCAGCCACACAGACCAAGTAATAAGCAGAGATGAGCGGTGGCAGTGATTTTGCTAAAATGCCCTGTGACAGCTTTTGACCATGTGAGCACGTGGGTTCAGTAGCAAGTATAAAACCTCTGACCATTTCTCATTGTGGCAGTTTGTTTGTGCTCATGTTTAAAATAAGGGAGATCTTTATTACAGTTTAATCCTAACTCAGGGTATGCCCCTACCTCACCACTAAGTTTCAGAGAATACACCAAGTACTTATGTGCTTTCCCTGAAAAAAAGGGAAATTGACAAACTGACACCTTTAACATTCATTTGGAAATGTAACCACCTAGGAGGAGCCAAAACAACTGGCAGACACCCACTGCCACACACCAAGATCTGAGGGAAACAGCACTGAGTCCATCAAGATGCCATACACAGGGACTTTCCACTAGTTTCTTTCTTTCTTTCTTTTTGACCAGCAGAGTTAGTGAGAGAGAGAGAGAGAGGGAGAGAGAGAAAGGTCTTCCTTCCGTTGGTTCACACCCCCAAATGGCCACTAAAGCCAAAGTGCTGGAGCCAGGCTCCAGGAGCCAGGCGCTTCCTCCTGGTCTCCCATGGGGTGCAGGGCCCAAGGACCTGGGCCATCCTCCACTGCATTCCCGGGCCACAGCAGAGAGCTGGACTAGAAGAGGAGCAACCGGGACAGAATCTGGCACCCCGACAGGGACTAGAACCAAAAAGCAAATCTGTCCAACTTTCCAGGCCATGGCTTTCTCTTACTGCCCTTAAAGAATGGAAACAGTCATAGACAATGTGTAAATGAATGAGGATTCTTGTTCCATTTTTATTGAAATCAAAATTTATGTTTCATGTAATTTTCATGCATCAAAAATATTCTTCTGTATTGTATCAGTTTAAGCATATTTAGCTTAAAAATGGGCAGGGCTGGAACCACACTGTGGGTAAGAAGCTTAAGAGCACTGAGGGTCAATGTAAAAGAAACAAGATTACCTTAGGGATAAAGTAGTTTCTGAATCTAACATCTCGGGTCACTGCATGGGGCAGGTTAGTGGGAAGGAGGTCGATGAATCTCTGGATCTCATGTATCACAGCATCCGTGTAGGGCATGCGGCTCCTGTCCTGCATGCAGGGGCTCCGGTGTCTGCCAATCACACGCTCAATCTCCTCCTGGACCCTAGCTGATAAGACATAAGTAAGAAATAACGGGGGAAATGAGAAAATTGGCACAGCTGTCATAACAATTTAGGGTTTCATGAACCTTAATGAAGATGTCGCAACAGAATTATAAGCTACAGGCCAAGAAAGACACCTCGAAATATAAAATGAGTTACCACAAAAAGATACAGTGTACTCTCCTACATCTAACATTATGATATATTGGTACATACAGGCCATAAAAATACACAGATGAAATTAACGTAAATAGAAGTAATAAAATGATCGCAAAAATCAGAACATAATTAAATCAAGAAAACACTGGCCTTGCAGAAAGGAAAATAGAAATCAAATCTAAATTTGAAAATGCATGGGACTTAAATCATGTTAAAACAGATGTGTGAAGGGAGGGTGTGTTTGGAAATGTGTTATTTTACCTTTTGTGAGTCTCTAAATGTATTTGCAGGTTTTGGAATATGTGTTCATTTGCAATGTTAATCTTACCATCTTCCTACTCCCCCAAAGTAGCCATTTTGAGCATCCCTGCAATTTATAATCATGTTTCTTTAAATGTCTATTTCTTTATTACCATTTTTAACACTTATTCAATTATTTCCTTGTAAGACAGATGAGAATTTTCATCTGCATCCCTAGCCCACATACACATATGCCCACCATGACAGGCACACACAGCAGTCCCTCCATTTAGCAGGATATATTTAGATCAGACATTTTGGTTATATCAACATTCATTTTTTCATCATTCTGAGCATATAAGTATAGTTTCCTAGTAAGGCAATTCTGCATCTTTAGCTTTTATTACTTTCTTTGATATTATTAACTTTGTCATCATTTTTTAATTCACAATTTTCTATCTCCTGATAAGAAGTATTTCCTGATACTCAGATAGATTTTTCAAATACCTAGTAATAATATTCTGGTCATTGGGATTCTTCAGATTATTAGTACTTCTATAAAACTAAACTTCTTCCAGGTAACGTTCTAAATGCATTTGTCCAAAAAATATAAAATTATTTACACCACTTCTCCCAATTCTTGTTTTATCCAATGCTAGCTTTATGGCAATAGACTTCTGTTGTAATAACATTACTTTGGGTGCATCTTCTGACTGAAAGGAAACACCTGTCTTATGCATCTATACTTTTGAATACCTCCCAGACTGGAATTACTTAAGGAAGCCTCACTGAATTTCAAGTTGGTTTTCAGTAAGAAAAGCTTCCTTGTCCTTTTCTCTGTATTAGAGCACTGAATTGTCAGAATGAGGAAAGGTAGCAGCAAGACTATACCTACTCCTCAATGGGGTCTTTTTGTTATGAAAGAAAATGCCATGCTGTGCCTGCCACACATCACTCCCATGAGATCCAGCACAGCCCCCAAACATCACTGCTCTTCCTCCTGCCAGGCTGTCTTCACTGCTCTAGGATCTCCTCCTGCATTGTACAACATTGGCCTGTTTTATTCTGATCACTGCACTGGACAGGGTACAGTTGTTGGCACAGAAGTTTTTAAGCAGTGAGACTCCTCTAGCAAAAACCAGGTGGAGGACTGTAGCCACGGCTCCCCAGCTTCTCTCCTGAATGCAGTTTGCTGCTCACTGAGTCGTACCTGCGACCTCGGGGTGCTTCATCAGGAGCAGGAGGGAGTATCTCAGCGTTGTGCTCGTAGTCTCAGTCCCAGCTCCAAACAAATCAGACACAGCGATTACCAAACTTTCAAGAGTGAACTCCAAATTATTTTCCTAGGAATGATTTGATGCAATTTGACAAATTACTTGCCAGCATATATTATTACACTAAATCCAAAATAACACAATTATTTTAAAAGATAGCTAACAGGGAAAACTGAAAGTGCAATATTAGGAAAAACTCTGCAGGATGTGTGGACACTATTGATAAGGTGCCCCCAAACTTTAGACTATACCATTACTTTTCCTCTGCCTAAACATTCCATTATGAGACTCTTGAGCGAGGTATGTCATGAATATTTCTTTCACAAAAGAATATCAGCAGAAGCCTAGTGGCACCACAGCCTCTATTTCCTTCTTTTTACTTGAAACATTGTTGCAAAATGGCATCATCTTGGAAGAGGAGGATTTAACCATGAAAATGAGGGTATATGGGCTAAATATGGCAAGGAAAATGGAGGTCACCCTACTCTAATGCTTAGTGATCTATTATTGCCAGATTAGCTGAACTTTAGTCACCTTGTATTCGATGTAAATGAACCATTTGCTAAGACAGTATTAACTACATTTTCTTTTGGTTATACATAAGAAAAGGTAGTCAATAATACATAAATATTAGTAAGTTAGGAGCATACCATGAAATGTATTCTTGCCCAATAAAGAGTTCACAATTTTGTCTTCTACCAAAACTTGACATGGAATCAATTATCCATGCAGGTTCTTTAAGAAGTTAAAATTGTGCAAAGCTGGTAAGGCTGCAAAACCTAGATGACATTGGGTTCCTCAAGAAAAGATGAGGTCAGCACCACTGTGTCCAGAAGGGAGGCAACTGGCAAGAAGGACTGGGGACACGCGCAGGAATGAATTGGAGGTACGAGGTGAAGAGATGCTGCGGTCATGAAGACAGATCTGAGAGTTCACTGTGCCCACAGACAAAGGAGAGATCAGAAGTTGTGCTGATGCCAGAGCTAAGGGACTAATTACATGGAGTTCTCACACACTGTGAGTTAGGAGAGAGTAAGCCATTGAAAAGGACATGTGCATTTGGTAAGGAACAAAAAGATTGCGTGACAGAGAACTGATCGGAAGGAGAAATTTTTAAATATTGAGGACAAGAGATCATTTATGTTTACATTTATAGTTTTCTAACCAGTCCCTACATAGGCATTATAGTAATGATAATATCGAAATGACCTGTGCATGTCAGGGTTATATAATCAACACCCAGAACATTAACTAAATCCTCTCAAAACATGAAGTTGCTACACACAGACACTCACATCGATTGGTAATCCCACCTTCAGAGAGATTGCTAAATTCATCAAGTTATAATTTCTCTTGAATCAGTAAGACAAGCAGTGTTCTCACAAACCATCACTAACATTTCCTTCTTTATAAGTGGATTTGGGGATCCACTGGGTACTAGCACATAACCTGTCATAATTAAGCTACACTCTATGAAACAATAGCCAAGGGGTAGACTTTCCATACCATACAGCAGTGATACTGCTATGATGGCAATTCTGGAGCAATGTCGCAATCATGCTAGATCAGGAAGTTCAGGAATCAGTCCCTGCAGGAAAAGGAAATCACTGACCTTGAAGAATCTGTCTGGGGCAAGTATTTCAGGACTCTGGATGCTCGTCAGACACTTGCAGCCTTCAGGCTAGTGCTTGATGAAGAACTTGTCTGCTCAGTTTCAGGGAACTTTGGTGTCTCATGTATAAATAGAGGCTAACATACGTTGTACCTCAGCTCTGTGGCAGGCAACTTTGGGGCCAGTGTCCTGTGCTGCTGTGTGGTTTTCTGGTCCCAGACTGGGCAAGGGGAATTTCAATCCCATGTGGTCCAACAACTTCTCCAGGGCATTAAGTGAGGAATTTAAAGAAGCGAATGACTTATCATTTTTTCTATTCTTACTAGACCCAAGATTTTAACGAAGTCTGTGTCTCATCACTGACTGATAGCAGAGAAAATAGAACAAGAGTCAAGTGATCACATGACAGGAACTATAACCTTGCTAACTCAATTTATAAAAATTTCTAAGTAAGCAGATAGCTGCAGGCTTTCTCAAAGACAAATGACAATTTGTGCAAGGCAGAAAGTCTCATTTCCAGATTTGTTACGTTATGATTTATTAAATGTCCAGTTTCAACAAAAAACTACGAGGACACAAAAAAGCAAAAAATATTGTCCATTATAATTTTTAAATGATTTTGCAGAAGTCATTCCTGAGGAAACAAAGACTTTGGACTTATGATGACGTCATTAAAATAAATTTTTAATAAGTTCAAAGAGGTGAAGAAAATTATATACAAACAATGAAATGCAGTTCAAAAAATATGTGTGAAAAAGTAGAATGTACCAAATATGAGGAAGAAAATACAGGTGGAAAAACAAAGAGAACCTCTGAAGTAAAAGTCACATTAAGTTATGGGTATTCCTGTTAGCAGTTTACTTAACTGGGCTGGCTGTGGTGTAGCAGGTAAGCCACTGCTTGCAGGGGCATCACATATGGGCACCTGTTCTTGTATCGGCTGTTCCACTTTTGTTTTTTTTTAAAGATTCATTTATTTTTACTAGAAAATCAGAGTTATACAGAGAGAGGAGCAGAGACAGAGAGAGAGAGGTCTTCCATCCACTGGTTCACTCCCCAATTGGCCGCAATGATCAGAGCTGAGCTGATCGGAAGCCGGGAAACAGGAGCTTCTTCCAGGTATCCACGTGGGTGCTGATCCAGCTCCCAGCTAATGCACATGGGAAAGTATGGAAGTTGGCACATGTGTTTGTCCCCCTGTTCCCTTTTGAGTCCCAGAAGAAGCTCCTGACTCCCTGCTTTGGATTGGCCCAGCTCTGAATATTACAGTCATTTGGGAAGTGAACCAGCAGATGGAAGATCTCTCTCTCTCTCTCTGTGTGTGTCTCTGCCTCTGTCTGTCTGTAACTCTGCCTTTCAAATAAATAGATCAATATTTAAAAAATAAATTTAAAAAGAACAGCTATACAGATAATGGTAAATATTAATGTTTTATATTTTAATATAAGTATTTTAGTTTCTATGTGATTTTAAATAAAAATTGTTATAGAAGAATTATAAATATGTGTTACTGGTTATAATACAAAAAAAAAAAAAAAAAGATGTGTAATAACAACAACATCATGCCAAGTAGGAAAAGCCAGTCACAGAAGGAGAAACATTGTGTGTTTCCAGTTACAGGTACTTAGAATAGCAAATTCCAGGAGACAGAAATTAGATTGTCTTTTTAAAAAAAAAAAAAGAGGCCAGCGCTGTGGCGTAGTGGGTAAAGGCACCACCTGCAGTACCAGCATCCCATATGGGCACCTGTTTGAGTCCTGGCTGTCCCACTTCTTATCCAGCTCTCTGCTATGGCCCGAGAAAGCAGCAGAAGATAGCCCAAGCCATCTCCAGCATGGAGACACAGAAGAAGCTCCTGGTTCCTGGCTTCGGATCGGCGTAGCTCTGGCCATTATGGCCAGTTGGGGAATGAACCAGTGGATGGAAAACCTCTCTATCTCTCTGCCTCTCCTTCTCTCTCTGTAACTCTGACTTTCAAGTAAAATAAATAAATCTTTTAAAAAAAGTAGGTAATATGGTGGTTGGCAGGGAATGGGGAGCAGGAACTTATTATTTAATAGATATGAAGTTTCTGTTTTGCAGAATAAAATAATTCTGGTATGTATGGTGGTGATAGTTACAAAACAAACTGATTGTGCTTAATGCCACCAAATGGTGCTGCTCTTAAAATAATTAGTTCATTACAACACTTTATCTCTTTATGGATTGCACATTCTGAAAAAATTGATTTTACCCAAGAAATGCACAGGTGGTTTAAAGGAAAGCAATCAATGTTGAAAAACACATTATAAGAATGTGAAAAAAAATCATCTAAACAGATTTTTAAAAAGCATTTGCAGTAAAGCTCTAGTTGGCAGAATAGGGAGCTTAGGGCACTATTCTAGGGGAAGATGGAAAAATAGTTTTTAAAAAAAGTGAAGGCATTGCATTCCAGGGAACAGTTAGGGAAAAACTGCAGTAGAAAAGTCTGCAGATAAAAGACGGACACATAAGTCTATGTGGAGGGCATGGACACATAGCAAGAGCATGGACACAACACGGGACCTCAGCAGCTGTGAGCCTAGAAAAACGACAGCTTTGGAACGTGAGGTGAGCTCAGACTGCAGCAGCCCATGCTTCTGACCATACAGCTGTGGAGATACAGTCTGGTGTGAGTCTGGCCCGGTGGCCTGTCATGAACACAATACCTGCTAATGTAGCAGAACAAAAGGGTGCACATTTCTCCCTCCCTCCCAATATACCCCACAACATCGCCTGACTGGTTCAGAGAGTGTGAGTGTCATTTTGAATATACAAAAGATGCTTAAGGATGAGCTATGCAGAGAAACACAGAAAAATAGCCATATTTATGAAGGAATGTGAAGGAGAAAATGTCCCAGTAAAACTAAGAAGGAAATTCACAGTAAACAACAGGAATATTGATGGAAAAACGGCAGGGCCAAGACATTACTTCTCAGTAGTAACTTGAATATTAATGGCCTCAGCACTCCAGTAAAAGATACAGATGGGCTGAATGGATTAAATAACAAGACCAATCTATTTGCTGCCTACAAGAAACACACCTCAATAACAAAGACACATGCAGACTGCAAGTGAAAGGATGGAAAAATATATACCATGTTAATGGAAAGCAAAAAAAAAAAGCCGGGGTACCCACTCTAATATCAGAAAAATAGACTTTAACATAAAGACTGTTAAAGGGACAGGAGAGCACTAGGTAAGGATTAAAGGATCAATTCAGGGCTGGTGCCGCAGCCTAATAGGCTAATCCTCTGCCTTGAGGCGCCGGCACACCGGGTTCTAGTCCCGGTCGGGGCGCGGATTCTGTCCCGGTTGCCCCTCTTCCAGTCCAGCTCTCTGTTGTGGCCCAGGAGGGGAGTGGAAGATGGCCCAAGTGCTTGGGGCTGCACCCCATGGGAAACCAGGAACCAAATGGAACTAACTGATATTTACAGAACTTTTCATCCCACAGCTCGAGAATGCACATTCTTCTCTCCAGTGCACTGAACCTTCTCTAGGATAGACAACATGCTAGGCCATAAAGCAAGTGTCAGCAAATTCAAAATAATTAAAATCATGCCATGCATCATCTCTGACCTCAAATGGAATGAAGCTGGAAATGAACAACACAAGAATCTCAAGAGCATATGCAAACACATGGAGACTGAATGACATGCTCCTAAATGAGCAGTGTGTCATAGAAGAAATCACATAGAAATTTAAAAAATTTCTGGAAATGAATGAAGAAGAAAATACAACATATCAAAACTACGGGGTACAGCAAAGTACTATTAAGAGGAAAGTTTATAGCAATTGGTGCCTACATCAAGAAATTGGAAAGGCCCCAAGTACATGAGCTATCAATACATAACAAGAACCTAACAAAATAGCAACAAACTAAACCCCAAATTAGTAGGAGGAAAGAGCAAATTAATATTAGATAAGAAACAAATAAAATGATCCAATATAAAATTCTGAAGATCAGTGAAATGAAGAACCTATTTTATGAAAAAATAAAATTGATATGCAATTGGTTCAACTAATCAAAAAAAAGAGATGACTCAAATCAAAAAATCAGAGATGACAAAGGAATTAAAAAGAATAATCAATAGTTACTAAAAAGAGCTGCATGCTTACAAATCAGGAAACCTAGAAGGAATGGGTAGATTCCTGGAGACATACATTCCATCAAAATTAAGCCATGAAGATATGAAAAACTAAAAATGCCAGTGGCCATGGCAGAGAACGAATCAGTAATAAAGACCCTCCCAAGCAAAGAAAAGCCTAGGACTGGATGGATACACTGCTGAATTCTACTAGACATTTAAAGATGAACTAATTCCAATTCTCTCAAGCTATTCAAAACTATTGAAAGGGAGGGAATCTTCCCAAAATTCATCTATGAAGCCAACATCATCTTAACTATTAAACTAAAAAACGATACAACAGGAAAAATAACTATAGACCAATATCCCTGATGAACATATATTCATGTGAATTTTCCCTCAAGTTTTATATAAAATAATTGAAAAGATCTATGGATTTAATGCAATCCCACCAACTATTCACTGAGTCTTAATAGAAATTTACAAGTCTACCCTAAATTTATATTGAAATTCAAGGAACATAAGATAGTCAAATTAGTTTTGAAGAACAACCACCTTAAAGGTCTCACACTTCTTTACTTGAAAACTACAGTAATTCAGACTTCAAGTTGGTACTCAGGTATGATGACAGACCCAAAGGTCAATGTAGTGGAGTTGACAGCCCACAAACAAACTTAGATTTATGTACAACTGACCTTTGGCCAGGGTGCCAAGGTAATGCGATAGGGAACATTGTCAACAAACAGTGCAGTGACAAGGTGATTCACACCTACAGGTTGCCACCTAGACACCAATCTCTTCTCCACATATGTACAACTTACTGTGTTACAGGGAGCTAAGTCTTTGTCTTCCTTCCACCTACTCTTTCCCACTGCACACTGAACACCTCCACACACACCACTCACTCCACCTGAAATTTCCTCTCCTGTCCTGCACTGAGAACTTCGAAAGACCTCCTTCAATGTGCAGGATATGCGCAAATCCCACCCAGGCTAAGCCCCTCTCCCTGACACTTGCTCAGTGATGATGTCATCTTCACATTACAGCATGATAGTCAGTGATTTTTAATTATTTCCAATTCACCTGAGATGTGCATTATGTTCCCCCTTGGGTAGATTATTTTCATTTAAAGAACAAGGCCCAGGTATTCTAACCATTTAACAATTTAATTTTATATTCTGTGTCTTTAAAAACATTTATGGAAATGTACATTATTTTTAAAAACCATAAGCTTCATTTTATAGACTAAAGTAAACTTATCTTTTAGTTCTTTATTTCTGCAAACTTTATGTGAAATCCCTTACTATTTTTCAGGATACTAAAAGCTCATTCCTACAATAGATATTTAAGTGCTTGTCAAAATAGCCTGACCATTTTAACGTCCATTGTTTATACAGAATTATTGGATGAACCTCAAAATACAAAGAAATCAAATAATGAACTGTTGTGAACAATTTACCTTCTCCATTTTGATCAAGAAACAATCAATAAAATCCCGAGGATTGTTAACATCCAGGAGTTTTTGATGTTCTTTCACTTTCTCCATAATAAAATTTTTTGTATAATCAGCATTTTTTAGTAAGGTCTTATGAATTCCCGGGAAATAATCAAGGAGAGCAGGGAAATTATTGTAGACCTAAAACAAAAAACAATAATTTGTTGAATTATATATACATTTATATATACACATATATATATTTGCACCCCTATTTAGGAATTACAGCTATAAATATGAATAAAATATGGTTGCCATTTTCAGGGAGAAACTTTTATTTAAATATATGGTAGTTCCATATGCTTATAGAAATATTTGGGGAGAGAATTCAAAATCAAAGAAGAAAGTCATTTCCTAGTGGCACACATAATTTTATAGTGTAATATCTGCCTTTTTTCAATCTCATTTTTTCCATAAATCTTTAGCTAAAAAATTTGAAAGATAATAGAAAATCAGGGCATTGTGGTCCAGCAGGTAAAGCACTGCTTGGAATGCCAGCAACCTACATTGTGTACTCCATCGAGTCACAGCTACTCCACTTCTTGCTACTGGGCCTGAGAGACAACCTGTGATGGCTCAAGTACGTAAGTTCCTGGTTCCTCGCAGCTGCCTGGCCTAACCCTGGTTTTGGGGGCATTCAGAACGTGAACCAGCAGATGGAAGAATTATTTCTCTCTCTCTCTCTCTCTCTCTCTCTCTCTCTCTCTCTCTCTGTTTCTCTCTCTCTCTCTCACTTTCTCTGTAATCCTGCCTTTCAAAGAAATAAATATTATAAGAAAAAAATGACATGGATGTCCATTGATTGACAAAGGCATCCTTTGTCTAGTCATCGAAGTGGCTCCATAGAAATAGGGCTTGGAGTTTAGTGGAAAAATCACTGGACAAGAAGATAATGGACATAAAACCAGCCCAATATTTGGACACTCATTTTCCTGTGTGTAAATAAAAGTTTCCATTATCTTTCTTCAAAAAAAAAAGAGATTTATTTATTTATTTGAGAGTCAGAGTTACTCAGAGAGAAAAGGAGAGGCAGAGACAGAAAGGTCTTCTATCCACTTGTTCACTCCAACAGCTGGGTGCAAGGGTCCTAGCAGCGCTGATCCTAAGCCAGGAGCCAGGAGCTTCCTCTTGGTCTCACACCGGGATGCATGAGCCCAAGAACATGGGTCATCCTCTCCCAGGTCATAGCAGAGAGCTGGATTGGAAGCAGAGCAACCAGGACCTGAACTGGAGCCCATATGGGATACCGGCACTGCAGGCAGTGGCGTTACCCGCTATGCCACAGCACCAGCCCAAGTTTCCATCATCTTTCACAGTGTTCAGTGACTTCAGCTGTGCTTTGGACTGTGCTGTCTGAACATTCTCTTCACATCTTGGTCCATGTGGAAATTTGCACCTGTCAGATAAAGGAGCATAAATGGTTTCTCAGGAACAAAAGATCTCACTCTCACCTGCAACCATGGAGAGCTCAGAATCCTAATATTTTCATTTAATCTTTCCATCAGTTTAAGAAAGTCTTCATCTTTATAATCAAAGCGATTATGAAAAATAATGGAGCAGATCACATTGCAGGGAGCACAGCCCAGGATAAAGGTGGGATCACAGGGTAAGGCTGAAGAATTGAAAACAATTTTAAAACACCATTAAAATATAGATATGAAGCTTGTTACTTTTGTCCTTGGTAATTTAGAAATTTTAAGCAATGTTTTCCCTACAAATTCCTGTAACGGTAAAAAAAAAAGTGACACAAATGCAATCAACACATCACTTTACTGTAAGCCTGAGCTGACCATTACAACCTAGCTGGCTAAATAATGCTATTCCCAATACTCAATTCACATTCACTGTTTTTATAAGCACTGTTTTTACACAAGAGATCTGCTATTTGGGAAAGAAAATAAAAACTTCTTTAAACTTAGTCATTCAAGTTTTCAAACTAGAGTCAGTTACCTGTGCAATGTCTGTAGACAATAAAGCACTGAAATGGTGACCAGAAAATAGTGTGGGCCAGGAAACTTCTTATAGATAAAATAATGAATAGAATAGTCACAATGAAAATGATGTGCTGAACCATTGGAGAGGAAACAAAGAGAAAAATTGTGGGTAAATTCAAGTATTGAAAAGAAAATATTTTAAAAGCTGCAGGCATCCATGCAATATGAGAAAATACAAAAATGAGAAAATGAAGCAAGTCATTGGCCTACTGCTTATGATACCATTAAGATGATTTGCATTCCATATAGAGGAGTGCTGGGTTCAGCACTAGGCCCCACTCCTAACTCCATTTCCTGATATTTCAGACTCTTGGAGACAGCAGGTGATGGCTGAGTTCATGAAACTCAAGTGGGAGACCTAGTGAGTACCCACATCTGGCTCGATTATAGGCCTGGCTATGTGGGAATCTGGGGAGTGAACTAGTAGATGAGATCTCTCTCTCTCTCTGTCTCTCTGTGTTTGTGTGTGTGTGTGCATATACGTATGTGTGTGTGTGTCTGTCTATATAATTTTCATTTTATAAGAAAAACATTGAAAAATAAGTAAAGAAATAATAAGTTTAGGAAGGATTCGTTTGCATAAAGCAGTAGAATGAGAGTTATATTATTTTATTTCAAGCATACATCCTAGTTAGATGAAGCAAAAAATAATTGGCGTCTTCTTTATCATGAGTTTTAATGTTAAATGAAAACAGTCAATTTCCTTGAGAAGTGGACAGCCAATATCTGTAACTGCTTTACATATTTAACATACTGGAGCAAAGCTGACCTTTAGTAGATCCCAGGATATTGTTCTGTACAACTATACCAAATATCAAAAGATGTTTTAATAAAATTTAAAATTTACCCAGAGGTTAAGCCAAGTCTCTCATTTTACAGATAAACAAATGAAAATCCAGGACAGATTTTCACTTTAATTGGCAGATTTGTATGGTGCAAATGCTAGAATCAGATGATCAACTTGAACTTTACAGGTAAAGAGCTCATAAATTCATAGCTACCTCAATAAGGGCATCTTAATTAAAATTGTTCAGAATGCATGGTAGAATACAGGCCATTAGGATACCTGAATTACTTGCACCTATGTCAGGCTTTCTTAACATTTATGTTACTCTACGTTTTCAGACAAAATTTTATTTTACGCCAGCGCCGCGGCTCAATAAGCTAATCCTCCGCCTTATGGAGCTGGCACACCGGGTTCTAGACCTGGTCGGGGCGCCAGATTCTGTCCCAGTTGCCCCTCTTCCAGGCCAGCTCTCTGCTGTGGCCAGAGAGTGCAGTGGAGGATGGCCCAAGTGCTTGGGCCCTGCACCCACATGGGAGACCAGGAGAAGCACCTGGCTCCTGCCTTGGGATCACCGCGGTGCTCTGGCCGCAGCACGCCGGCCGTGGCAGCCATTGGAGGGTGAACCAACAGCAAAGGAATACCTCTCTCTCTCTCTCACTGTCCACTCTGCCTGTCAAAAAAAAAAAACAAATAAAAAAAATTAAAAAAAAATTTATTTTACCCCAACGAGGTAGAGGATAATTTGGAAAGCCTTGGGAACTGTGTATTTGTGTATATGTGTGTGATATTCAGTCTTTACTTTGCTCAGAAGAGATAATTAAAAACAAGGTAATTTGGAAATTGACTGATAATCAGACGCATTTTGAGTAACATATCTCGGAGCACTAGACCTGATGGTGGGAGGAAAATATGTCACAATTTCTCAAACAAAATCTAATAAACATAGAGAGAAAGCAAAGCAGAAAAGAGGGCCACGCTTTGCAAAGGAAAGCCAATATAAACAGCAATTATTAACACTTGAAATTTTTTTAAGTAAATCATTTCACGAAACAGTGCTTGTATATGTGGAGAATTATGTTACAGGATACATTTACTCAAATCAATCAGTAGGAGAAGTAGACTCAACAAGTAAGAACAATTTTTATAAACAGTGTGATTACAGAGAATTGTAAGTTCAGGAACTTTGTTAGGAATTGCCTAGGGAGACAAAACTGCACACAGGACCACTGGTGTCCAGCACTAAGCACGGGCCTGGGGGAACCTCAGACATGTCAGTGAATCGAGCATGCAGATGTGAACGCCCACGGGGGTCGGTTCTTGTCCCTTAAGTGGCTGATGGGTCATTGCCACCATATGCATTTGCCATGTTTCCACCATGAAATGTTCTGCGATAGGTAGCAGCATTCAGTCTATGGGGAAAATATCCCCCTTTAATTTTTTCAGAAATTACACTCAAAACTTATATCCATGATTTCTGATTGGAAATTATAGAAACTGACTTGGAACAGAAGAGTATTAAATGAACTTTTACAGACGCACAAGACACAGAACCAGGCTGGAAACACAGCACAGATCCAAACAACTCCCCACTTCTTGCTTCAAACTGCACTTCCCACCATGAGAGTGGCAACCAGGCCTCAGGATGAAGGCTCTGCCCACCCTTCCAGGTTTCCCAGGGCAGCATATTCAGGGGAGCAGTGTGAGGTCAGTGATGTGGGGTAAGGGTCACCCACCGTTGGTTTTTCTCAGCTCCTCCACCAGGCAGCGGGCCTCCTCTTGAATTCGGTCCTCAATGCTCCTCTTCCCCATGCCGAAATTCCGCAGGGTCATGAGCGAGAAGCGTCGCATCTCCTTCCATGTCTTTGCATTGCTGAAAGCGATTCCTGCCAGAATGAGAAACAGAAACTTGGAGGGAGGGAGATCCCAGCAAGTAGGAAGAAGCTGACATGAGGCAGCCACACAGATGACCAAGTTCTGTCTGGGGAGCTTTTAAGTCTCTGGTTTGTAACCACTCCATCCCATTAGCACTATTAGACACACACACACACGCACACACACACACACACTTACCAAGTCCCTTACTAACTTTTTCAAGTATGGGCACACTGCCTCTTCCAGCAAACTCCTCTCCAAGATCAACCAGGGCTTCCTTCACTGCCTCGTATCCATGCAGCACCACAGTGGGCTTCATGCCCAGATACACAGTGAACACGGGGCCATAGCATTCTGAGAACTGGGGAGAGAAACAAATATCACCAAAGAAACCACATGTCAGCCACAGAGTGTGTCTGATTCAGACAGAAATTAGCATTGTCTATGTTATCTCTGTTTTTAAGATTTTTTTAAATTTATTTGAAAGACAGAGTTACAGAGAGAGGTAGAGACAGAGAGAGAGGTCTTTCATCTGCTGGTTCTCTCCCCAGATGGCCGTAATGGCAGGAGCTGTGCTAATCAGGAGGCAGGAGCTTCTTCCAGGCTCCCACGTGGGTGCAGGGGCCCAAAGACTTGAGCCATCTTCTATGCTTCCCAGGATATAGCAGAGAGCCGGATTAGAAGAGGAGCAGGTAGGACTAGTACCGGTGCCCATATGGGATACAGGCACTTTAGGCCATGATTTTGACCTGCTGCAACTCAGTGCTGACCCACATGTTTTCTCTTCATTCTGCCATGGATTCAAATATTTCTCTTTATACTTAAATATGATAGTGATGTGCCATACAATGGTCCATTAGTTGGTATGCAGTTTACATTTAATTCTCAAACAATCTACTCAGCAAGTTTTTTTGCACTATTTTATAAACTAGCATTTGAGAATTCCAAATTTATTACCAATTTCCTGTAGCCAGTAAAGAAACTTATGTACTGCTTATTCAATTTTTGTGGCTTGAAATCAATACCCAGCCAAATTCAGGATCACATGGTAAGGTTATCTTATGAGCATCCTGACTCAATAGGCCCATGATAACACTAGTGATGTATATACTTAGAAATCACGCCAAGTAACTGGCCCAGCCAAGTTTGAAATTTGTTGCTATTAATAAGGCAGAAAGAGAGCAAGCAAGCTTTCTATCTGTGTCTCTCTCTTTCTGTTACTTTGCCTTTCAAAGAAATAAAATAAATCTTGAAAGAAACTCTGCCATCCACATGGGAGACCAAGGAAGAGTTCCTGGCTCTTGGTTGGCCTGGCTCAGCTCTGACCATTGTAGTCCTTTGTGCAGTCAAAGAACAGATGGGATCTCTTTCTTATGTTTGTTTAATAAATTGCAGATTTACAAAGAGGAGGAGAGACAGAGAGGGAAAGATCCTCCAAGTGCTGGGTCACTCCCTAAATGAGAAAAACAACTAGGGCTGGGCCAGGCTGATGCCAGAAGCCACGTGTTTCTTCTGGATCTCCCATGTGGGTGCAGGGGCCCAAGGAATTGCATGTTCCTCTGTTGCTTTCCCAGGTACATTGGCAGGCAGCAGGATGGGAAGTGGAGCAGCCTGGCCTTGAACAGGCACCCATATGGGATGCAAGTGTCAGAAGCAGAGGCTTAACGTGTTATGCTACAAGACTGACCAGGAGATCTCTCACTCTGTCTGTTTTCCCTCCGTTTCTATGGCTCAGCCTTCTGAGTCAAGAAAACAAATCAGAAGAAGAAAGAAGAGGAGGAAGGAGAAGAAAAACAAGAAGAGGAAGAAGAAGAAGGAGAATGAGGAGGAAGAAGAGGAAAAAGAAGGAGGAGAGGTGGAAGAGGAGGAAGAGCAGGAGTAGGAAGAAGAAGAATTAGAAAATCAGAAGCAGAGAAAGAAGGTGGGAGGTGGTTGGGGGAGGGAAGGAAAACAAGCCCCAGAGGCAGGCCAGGACATTACAAAGCAGCATCTCAGGGAGGAGCAGCTTCTTCCATCCTGTGGCATTCTGGGTCATACACTGCAGGGTTTCACAGAATCTAAAAGAATCCTGATGCCACCAGTTGGCCACTGAATGTTTACTTCTTTCTTTCATTCACCTAGACCACTCCAGAACCCATAGCTTAATACCAGTTTTTATTGATACTGCAGAGAAATTCAATTTTCATGGATATTCTGAAAAAAAAAAAAACACTTGTAAAATACAGTAGATGACTTCTTGAATGAAATTTGTATCAGAAGCTCTTCATCATCTCTTACCTGAAGACAAATGGCTGAAACTCAAAGATGGTCAGAAGTACTCCCAACTTTTGTCACTTAATTATTTTGATTCTATCTACGGGGACCTATATTTCTCTATTCAACTCCTGAAATTGGTAGAAGAAGCATCAAAGCTTACAGAGAGCATTTTGATTTATAATCATCTGTTTTAAGAGTGTGCATCGAGGAATAGATTTTATTTTAAAAAAAGTCAATCTGTTTACCCTTAGCATGTCACAGGAGGAGCATAATAAATACTTACCTTAGTTAAGGATTTGCTGATGTCCTTAGCATCTATCTGGAGAATATTTCCAATGATGGGGAAAGGAGTGGGGCCAGGAGGGAGCTTCCCCCTCCCGGAATTCTGCTTCCAGATTGAAAGGAGAAGTAAACAGCAGAGACCCAACACCAGGACCACAACTGGATCCATTCTCTTCTTCCTGGGATACTGTGAGCTGGGAAGCACAGGCTTTATACCACTCTTGCTAATATGCTTCTCTGACGGGTCAAGCAACAGTGCACTTTATCCTCTCTCCTGAGTGGACTTTGCCTCCACGACAGAGATGAAAATAAGATATTCTTTAGTCGCATTGCATTCTTTCCTGTGCCCACTCGGGAAATGGTAATTTCATTGTACTGGGTTGCTCCTATGTACAGGTAATTGAAAATAAGGCAGAGAGAGAGAGTTACAAAGAGATCCATTTCCTGTATCTTGGTTCATTCCTTGCAGTTTCAACAACAGAAAAGGTCAAATCAGAAACTCAGAAGTCAATCCAGCTTACCACATGGGTGAAAGAGTTCCAAGAGCTGAGAAACCATCTCTTGCTCCCACGTATAGGATTAGCATACACTGGCTCAAACTCAAGCTTCTGACATTGAATGCCTGTGTCAAAAGCAGCAGCTGAACTACCACGACACAGTGTCTATTCTGGGGCATTTTTATGAGATCTGATGTCCATTTTGTGTACTATGTCCTACACACAGGCAGTCTCCAGAGCAACTTCAACAACGAAACCTAAACTATTCGTGACTCTCAATCAACAACACACTATGTTCATAATGAAACAGACGTAACACCCAATAGGAACTCCTTTAATTGACTTCAAGGATAAAAAACTACATGTGCTCACACGAACAGAAAAAACACAGAGTTCTTCCAGTTGATTCACTGTAGAGGTAAAATTTAGTCAGTGTAACTAAGGAAAGAGACAATCTCAGAAAATTTGAGGGAAACCCTTGGGAAACTAAAACTACCCTCACCTCATGTTCAGCTCCAGCCAAGGATGATTCTGTTAGTTTGGGTCTGTCGTGGTCTGAAATGAAAAGTGAAATAATGCAGCAATTCAGGGAAATAATAAAGAATGCTCTTGCAGATACAATAGAGGAGGAGAGGAAGGGAAGTCATTCAATGGACCCACAGCTCAAAGAACCACAACTTGTTGACCTGAACAGGAGGTGACACTGTGTTGATGAGAATCAAAATCTCACTGAAAGATAAACGTTACTAGATCACCAATGACTATGCTTATACAAAGGCATGTTCTTACAGTATCATCAGATGTTTCTGTAAATTGGCTAGTGCTATTATTTCTAAACTGTATTTTTAACTTTTATTTAATAAATATAAATTTCCAAAGCACAGCTTTTGGATTACAGTGACTTCCCCTCCTATAACTTCCGCCCCACCCAAAACCCTCTTACCTCCTGCTCCCTCTCCCATTCCCTTTACATCAAGATTCATTTTCAATTATCTTTATATACAGATCAATCTAATACATATTAATTAAAGATTTCAACAGTTTGCACCCACACGAAACACAAACTGTAAAGTGCCATTTGAGTACTAGTTATAGCATTAATTTACATTGTACAACACATCAAGGACAAAGATCCTACATGGGGAGTAAGTGCACAGTGAATCCAGTTGTTGCCTTAACAATTGACACTCTTGTCTAAACTGTATTTTTAAAAATTAAGTCTTGTGGAGACCAACTTAGAGAAGGTTTTATTGGTCAAGAATAGAGAGATTCTGACACTTAACAGAGTTTCGCACCCTGCATATTCTTTGGATTCTGTTACCTTTGCCTAAGGTAAAATCATTCAATTTGAGGGATGAGGAAACTCGGCCTTGGGGACTCAGTCCCAAGGCCAAAGACACACAAACTGCTGATGTTAGGCTTCTGAACTGACCCCGTGTGTCCCATGTCTTCCTCTCTTCCTCAAGCTAGACTTTCCTTTCACTTGGGTTCAGGAACATTTTCAGAGTGTGCTGTGATTCTCTATTGCATGACTCACTCTAATCAGTCACTTGAAAAACAAACATGATTTATTTAATGATTACCACAACAATTGATTAAAAATCAGGGTCAGAAAAGTTTAGATCTTGAACAATTCCACTTCTAGGTGAATGCTACATCCAGGACAAAGAGGAGAAATCTTCTGCCTAATTCACACAGTTCTAAACTCCTAACAGAACCACACCGATTTGTTTTGGGTTCAATGAGCGCTGTCAGTCTCTTTACATCAATCACATTACTCCTTGAAGATAAGTGACCCTGCTCTGCTTCTCCTCCTTTCCTTTGAGCTGCGGTCCTGGCTTTACCTTTTATATACAAATAGTGTTTTAAAAAATACCCTGTGTAATTTTTTTGAAAAGTAGAGAGATGGACTGGGAAAGAAAGATGATACAGAGAGACCTCCCATCTGCTGGTTCACTCCTCTGTTGCCCACATTGACTGGTGCTTGGTCAGACTAAAACTGAGAGCTAGAAACTCAATGCAAGTGAACCACATGGGTTACATGGCCCCAAGAATGTGAGTCATGGCCTGCTGCGTCCTAGAGTTTGTATTATCAGGACAATGGAATGGAGAGCAGCACTGAGACTGAAACTCAGGCTCTGCCAGAGAATGCAGGAGTCCCAAATGGTGTAGTAAGTGCTACACCAAACACTAACCCCAAGATCATATATTATCCAAGATAAAAGGGATCTCTGAGATCAGCAAGCCCAAATTTGTTTTGGTGTTTAGAAATGAACATTGGATACCTCACTGAAAGATAGTGTCACCAATACATCAGTAAAAGACCTTGTCTTAGAATCCCTGTTTTCCAACCTTCAGTTCAGTGACTTCACACATCCTATTCCACAGAATTCTGATCTCAGTTCGAATATTCAGGTGATTAACACTGTTAAACCTATGATAGTAGAATATGCTATAATACTTTAATAATACAAACTCAGCTTCCCTAGAAGTGTCAGAACAAGAATTTCATTTCTAGAATTTATTTCTAAAATGCAGCTGAAGTTTCACAGTAAACTAAGTAGAAAATATAAACAGTAGCCACAAAACCCTTTCCACACTCTCACTCAGGCTTTCCTACAATTAATAATTCTCATTTGTAAGGTTTCTTACATGCCTTGAACCAACATGAGCAGAAGTTCATATTTTACGTAACATTCACTCTTCAGTTGCCATTTGTCTTTTTGCATGAAGTTTCTGTTCAAATATTTTACTCCCTTTTAAATTATGCTATACATTTCACAATGCTGTTTTAAGAGTTCTTTGAATATTTTAATTAAGTCTTTTTTTAAACTTTTATTTAATGAATATAAATTTCCAAAGTACAGCTTATGGATTACAATGGCTTCCCCCCAATAACTTCCCTCCCACCCGCAACCTTCCCCTTTCCCACGCCCTCTCCCCTTCCATTCACATCAAGATTCATTTTTGATTCTCTTTATATACAGAAGATCAGTTTAGTATACAGTAAGTAAAGATTTCAACAGTTTGCTCCCACACAGAAACATAAAGTGAAAAATACTGTTTGAGTACTCGTTATAGCATTAAATCTCAATGTACAGCACACTAAGGACAGAGATCCTACATGAGGAGTAAGTACACAGTGACTCCTTTTGTGGACTTAACAAATTGACACTCTTGTTTATGGCCTCAGTAATCACCCTAGGCTCTTGTCATGAGCTGCCAAGGCTATAGAAGACCCTTGAGTTCACTGACTCTGATCATATTTAGACAAGGCCATGGTCAAAGTGAAATATTTAAAAAAAATAGAATGTTCCTATGTTTTGACTGCATTTGTGTGGATGGCTATAGATCAAATTAAGAAGACTGGCATTTGGCGCCGTGGCTCACTAGGCTAATCCTCCGCCTTGCGGCGCTGGCACACTGGGTTCTAGTCCTGGTCGGGACACAGGATTCTGTCCCGGTTGCCCCTCTTCCAGGCCAGCTCTCTGCTGTGGCCAGGGAGTGCAGTGGAGGATGGCCCGAGCACATGGGCCCTGCACCCCATGGGAGACCAGGATAAGTACCTGGCTCCTGCCATCGGATCAGCACAGTGCGCCAGCTGCGGTGTACATTGGAGGGTGAACCAACAGCAAAAGGAAGACCTTTCTCTCTCTGTCTCTCTCTCTCACTGTCCACTCTGCCTCTCAAAAAAAAAAAAAAAAAAGAAGACTGGCATTTTAAAATGAGTCTTCAAATTCATGCACATGGACTATATCTTCATTTATGTTTTTATAATCCATTTGCGATTATCTTCAACTGATATTGTATATTTTCTCAGACTTATGCACAAGTATTTTATATTTGTTGATACTAAATATAAATGATACTATGTATTTCATTTCAAAACTCAATGGTTCATTGCTACTAAACATAAAATAACTGAATTCTTCATATTAAACTTGCACTCTGAAGCATTACTAGATTTACTTATTGGATTTGGGAGATTTTTTGGTTATTTTCTTTTTCAATTTTGATTTTCTGGCTTTTAACTTTTTATTTTTTTCTCATTTTCATCTTTCTTTTTTAACATTTATTTAGTAAATATAAATTTCCAGAGTACAGTTTATGGATTACAATGACTTTCCAACCCATAACTTCCCTCCCACTAACACCCCTCCCATCTCCTGCTCCCTCTCCCATTCCATTCACATCAAGATTCATTTTCAATTCTCTTTATATACAGAAGTACGATTTAGTATATATTAAGTAAAGATTTCATCAGTTTGCCACCACACAGAAACACAAAGTGTAAAATATTGTTTCAGTACTAGTTATAGCATTAATTCACATTGGACAACACATTAAAGACAGATCCCACATAAGAAGTAAGTTCACAGTGACTCCTATTATTGACTTAGCAATTTGACACTCTTGTTTATGGTGTCAGTAATCTACCTAGGCTCTAGTCATAAGTTGCCAAGGCTATGGAAGCCTTTTGAGTTTGCTTACTTCAATCTTATTCAGACAGGGTCACAGTCAAAGTGGAAGTTCTCTCCTCCCTTCAGAGAAAGGTACCTCCTTCTTTGATGGCCAAGATCTTGCCACTGGGATCTCACTCACAGAGATCTTTCATTTAGTGTTTGTTTTTTTTTTTTTTTCCAGAGTGTCTTGGCTTTCCATGCCTTAAATACTCTCATGGGTTTTTGGCAAGATCCGAATGCCTTAAGGGCTGATTCTGAGGCCAGAGTGCTGTTTAGGACATCTGCCATTCTATGAGTCTGCTGTGTATACTGCTTCCCATGTTGGATCGTTCTCTCCCTTTTTGATTCTATCAGTTAGTATTTGCATACACTAGTCTTGTTTGGGTGATCCCTTTGACTCTTAGACCTATCAGTGTGATCAACTGTGAACTGAAATTGATCACTTGGACTAGTGAGATGGCATTGGTACATTCCACCTCGATGCGATTGTATTGGAATCCCCTGGCAAGATTCTAACTCCACCATTTGGGGGAAGTCTGATTGAGAGTGTCCCAAATTGAACATCTCTTCCCTCTCTTATTCCCACTCTTATATTTAACAGGGATCACTTTTCAGTTAAATTTAAACACCTAAGAATAATTCTGTGTTAATTACAGAGTTCAACCAATAGTACTAGAACAAAAAAAAATACTAAAAGGGATAAAGTATTATATTGTACATCAAGACAG